TCTTCTCTCTCTTGTCATCCACAAATCATATTTAAAATAGAAGAAATCTATTTCAATTTCTAATTAATTGCTAATATAACATATGGCTATAACTGAGTTGTAATTACTTATACAGATATCTCTCTAACGTCTATCTAGTAATAGGATTCATAATCAATAAATATGTTGTCCAAAGTATAGAATCCCATCAAATACAAAGAATACTTCTCCAATCGTAATACTATATATGAATATCCCTTAAGTTTCTGAGATGGAAACATATCCTAGGAATGGATCAGATCATGGCATTGAAGCACCCCAAAAAGACTTGATAAGTTCCTTAAAATTTAAATATGCTCAAACTTGATTGCGTATCCCCTCTTTTCTTAGGACTTACTAAATCTTTGTTTTAAAAAGATGTATGGGCTATTTCTATTATCCCTATTTGTTACATTTAATTTTTGGGTTAATTATCACTAAGCCCGTTGTACCAGATAATTAGGCCAAAATTCACTTATTAATTTGACATCTCCTTCATCACTTCTTCAATTATTCCCATAGGAATAAACTCTGATTTATCATCCACCTAACAATCAGTCATTCTTTTAATCATCCTTTCAATATTCTTCTCCTCATCTATCCCTATAAGATCTTAGGAATTGCATCTTCAGCAATCTTGTAATTAAACTTCTTCTCCATGTGCACTTCTTATAATTCTGACATATACTAGGGAATTTCTGAAACTACAAATTCGGTATGGGGTTTCTTCCTAAGTTCCTCTAATTATATCTTCTGGCAATGATATTTAGTTAAACCTTTATCATTTTATAAAGATGTAGTTCAATAAAATGATAGACATGTCTTTAGATTTTATTAGCTAAAACTCGAGGAAGAGAATCAAAAAAATGAATACTTCAGTATAATTAATTATTTCTTGTCTTAGATATAAACAATATCTAACGAGTAGTTAATTATATAAATTTTTTTTGCTACTTAAGAATTCTGTTGGATCAATAAATGCCATAATTAACTCTTTAGAGGGATCTCCTGTGAAAGCAGCCTTTTAAGCACCTACCCTGTTTAAATTATTTGCAATTCCAAATTTTTCCAAATAATCCAGGTAATAGCCAGATTAACAAACTCTACAATCTGAAGCATTATTACAAATAGCACATTAATCAGCATTACATTTTATAGCATTAATCTAGATATGAATTAGTTGGTTAATATTCAACTTAGCATTTATAACAATAATTTTCAGAGAAACATGTGTAAATATTGGTCCCACACGTCATACATTCATAGTTTTGTAAATAATATCCAGCTTAATACCTTAAATAAGTATTTTCAACTGAACAAGCAAAGCATCTTTCTGAACAGATTTTGCATTTATTAACTTCTAAATAATATCGTGATTCGCAAAAATGACAAATTTGTTTTGTAATTTGAACATGCTATGCATGGATATGCACAATATTGATACTCATATTATGAATCCAGAAACATACCCTAAAAGCAGGATGTAAATACAACTAAATGTTGCATGGTACACAGTGATGAGTAACAATTTAAACAAGGTTCCTAACACTTTTCGGGCTCTGATTGAAATGTACAATCATCTGAATATTGAATAGGACAAGGTAAACAATCACCAACATTTAGATAGTACCCATTGAAGCAACCTGTTCAAGTATGCCTGTTAGTAAACAGCTAACAATAAGGATTACATTTTACACTATTCAAATCCCCTAAAAAAAACCAGGCGCGCATTCAAAACAACGATCAGTTAAAACAGAACATTACTTAATTTTTTTCGTACAAGTTTAACATTTATTATTAGAAACCAAATAATTTTATTTTTCATAAGATAGCATTCAGTGCAAGAATTCTAACACATGTCGCAGAACTTGTACATTTGATCCATTTCTTCTTTATTAATGAGTAAGAGGAAATACGTGAAGCACAATTATTTGATAAATCAAAACAAGTTGTACAATTATCTGCGTATTTGTATCCTTTTACATAATACCCAGTTATGCATTAAATGCATTGAGAACTATTTAAGCATTTTGAACATACACTTTTTCACCATCAATACATGATTAACAATCATCGCTCAAAGTGCAAGATGTACAAATTGAAGGAAAATCTTCACATTATCCAAAAAGTTACTATATTTTCCAGTAACACAAATATTACAATCGTTTTCTGCTTAGCATTTTATACAATCTGATGTATATATTATTTATAGATTTTAAATGTAAAAATTTAGCAAGAATTATCTCTATAATAAAACCCTTTTATGCAAGTAGAACAATCAATTGGTGCAGTACATTTTAAACAACCTTAAATTCACATCTTGCAAGTTTATGCAAAAGTATAGGTGTCTGTACATGTAGTACAAACTATAGAGGATGTACTGCGTATTATCAGGACAAATTATGCTAAAACCATATACACAAGCTATACAATCTAAGCCATTGCAAGGTTCATCGCATTTTGATTAATCTGATGTCTCATATTGGCACAAATAGTTTTCATTTTTATCTACTCTATTTAATTAACAGCTTCTGCATTTTTGTGCAATCTGATAAAAATAACAATCATCACAATACTTCTGCCATTCATTTATTAAATTCATTAAACCGTCTATCAATATTTTATATTTTTTATCACTTAAAAAAGTAGATTTTCTATATTCAAAATAAAACAAATACATCACCTAATATATCGAGTAGTCTTCAGCTAGAAATCATCTTCTTGTAATTTTTCCTGTTACTTCCCTAAATATAAACTGCTTAATCCTTTTAATATTTAACATTCCTGTATTCCATTATATTCACAAAACTCGACTAGTGTAGTAATATGAGGTTTATGAAATTGAAGGAGTTGAACCAAACTTCTAAAGTACACTTTGTTTCTCTTTTAGATAGATATATCAAACTGCAAAGCATTTTGATCGAATTTTTAATAGTACTAACCAACATAGGAATATCACTTTTAAAGAAAATTTTCTTCTAATTTTATTCTAAATCACAATAATATTTTGAGACTGAACTAGTTGCGGTACCTTATAAATATGAAGCCTTAATTAATTTAGTCAACTAACTAAAAATATTACTATTACTTTCGAAAAGCTTTACTACAGTTTACTAATATTGATTAGATGTATCAGTCTTGAATTTAAATGTCAGCAATCTCTTATCCCAAGTATAAACTTCGCATGCATATTTATATATTAATATGTAACTGCTTAATAACCGAAATTGCAAACGCAAACCCCATTTACTAATTACCGAAATGTGATGTTTTCATCACTATAACTTAAACAATAGTTCCTTTTTGAAAAATCACATGTAATACAATTTTCGGAACATTCTAATAATTCATTTCATATTCTGCAAAAATTTTCTTAGATCACGGTTATTAATTAAATTCTGATAATAAAATCCTTCTGTTTTGAAATGATTTTAAATATGAAAAAGGTAAGCATTATCAAACGTAAGATACTACTTACAATTTAGAAACAAAGAAATATCCTCCTTAAATCAGAAATTTATTTATAGTTGATGATTCTATAGAGGTACACATCTAATAGTAGGAAAATTTGATTAAACAAAGAATTATTATTTATTTCGAAAGCATTTGTACAAATGCTGATTTAGTCAAATTAAGTTTTAACCTTCTTTTAGTACATAATTAAAGAGCAATTTTAATATCCCTCTATCTTGTGCCAGCCTTAACTTGCTCTCATTAAATGCATTCAAAGTTTTATAAAATCTAAAATATTTCCTTACAACTTGAATTGTTCTCAGAGTGAAATATATTATCTTTAGATAAATAAATCACGGGCTACTAACCCAAGAATAAGGTAAGTTGAAAAGGAGTTAGCATATAAAGTTATTCCCAAGAAATCATTTAAACTAAATGATTTTCAAGAATTAGTCTCCTTCTAGTTCTTCACCCACAATTATTCCATTGTTATTCATCATCAAATATCACTTCTGGTGCTGCCTGTATTTGGTTTGAGAATTTACAGCCACATAATTTTAATTAATCTCTTAAAATGAATTTGTAGACAGAGTTATTAAAATCTTGTAACAACTTTTCTAAAATTTGGAAAAAATTTGTATTAATTCAATAATATAGTTATTATTTGTGTTTATTATTTAATTTAATTATATCTTTTGTAATTATAAAGGCTTCTAATGCCATCAGTGATCAGTTTAATAAAGTCCTTTTATAAGTTTGAGTTTGAAATAGTCTTAAGACAAAGAACTCTGATTAAAGATTAAATTTTATCTCTTAATCTTTTAAGGAACATAAATAATTTTTCGTCTAGAGTGATTTTTATTCTAATTGAAATAGTGTTGATCAACAACTAGCTGCCATTTTTTCTCACTTTATAGTTTTTTGGTTTAAACTCAAGGATATCTTTGGAGTGTTTAAGAATAGCAAAATGAAAATCAAAAAAATAGTCTAAAGAAATAGGCCTACACTCATTTTAAGATTAAAGAAAATACAAAATATCATTTTACTTTAATATTATACTTTCAAACATGATTAGTTATGCTAATACTTATTAATTCAAGTTGTGATAATGTTGTTCTTTGTTGATCTATCGATTATGAGCATTTCAGTATGATATAAAAAATATTTAGGAAGGGTTTATCTTAGATGTACAGATCTAAATCTCTGTACAAAAGTAGCCTCAAGCAATTTGATGAAGTGACTAATTACCTTAATAGGTGTATGGGTGCATATTATTTGGGGAAACTAGCCTCATTCTGAATATAAATTTCAATTTAGTTAAGTCGTCAAGTTTATCCAGAAGGCCCATCCTGTTCAAAATCACTTATTAATTTATTAAGTTCAACAATTTCTTAATATATTTTATTCCTAGAAAAGGAGAAATTCTTCAATGGTTTCCTATTAAGGTAAGCATTAAAATTTTGGAAATTTAAAGCACTCAAATCAGTCATTTTATTTGAACTTAAAGAGATTTGTTTAGAATAATATATTAAATTTCAGAGTGCAATCTTGTAATACATTCATAATTGATCCTTCTCTTTCAAAGGTTTTAATTTCTAGAATCTGCAATAATATCATTGATTTCTTTAAATTGTAGCAAGGATTTGCAAGATATATATCATTAGTCAAGTTTTTATTAATAATAATATTATAATCTATTTCTTTGATTTAAAAAATCCAGAATTATTGGATATTCAAACATGTATTGGGGTTCGATTTCTATTCTAGTACTTATTAAGTAGCTTGATGTTGATAAAGGATTTTAGGAAATTCCTTTTTATGGAATTGCAAACGATATTGAAATTGGTTTGTAATCAGCAGCGTTATAGAATGTATTCTATAAAATTTATCTTCCATTCTAAATCCCTCTTGATCAGGAGGTCGTCTATCCATATTAATGATTCAATCATTCAGAAATATTACAATCAAAAAATTTAAATTAATTACTCTAATATACAAAGAAATGAATCGATTCGATTTATTCTTAACAAAGCTAGAATTAAATCATATATTCACAATTTCTAAAAAATAGCATTATATTTATTTATGGAAATGGAGAAAATTATCTAATTTTTTGTTTTTTTAATTAGTCGCTTTTCCATATAAATAGACAATAAAAAAAATAGAGCTCAACAGTTAATCATTTTACATATTGAATTAAAATATTTAAAGTAACTATAATTAATCAGATTCTGTTCAAATCAATCTTTCTTCGATGCTATGTAAATCGAAGTAGTGGAATAAATATTATTATTTACATATCCTCTAATAATTTTAACTGAAGTTAACTAATCATTAAAATTGCTCAAATAATTATATTATTATTGTACCTTTTGGAAAATAAAGCTTATTTTTTGACGTTATCTAATATATTTAGATATATATAATTCACTAATTTTAAGCAGAACTCATATTATTTGGATAAGAAATGATATAAATGAATAAAAACCTAACTCACTTTTAATTTTAATACAATGTTTCTATATTTCTTAAAGAAGCAACCTAAATTGTAGAGCTCAGAAAAGTTCATTTATAATAATATAAAGTAGCATAAAAAAATACTAAAACAGCTTGAATATATTAATTAATATATAAATTTAAAGTAAGATAAGTCAGAGTGAAGAAACATTTCAATTAGTAATTCTTTAGTAAGCACATAATGAACAAAAATATTTTTTTGTGACTTAAGCTCTCAAATGTTTGTAAAACGATTGCTTTTTCTTAATATCATTTTAATAATATATAAAAATGGAGAGCAATGAAAAAAAGATAAGTATAATTTACATTATTGTAAATCCTAAGAAAATTTAGATGAAGAGGGAAAGTGTTCATAATGAAAAAATTATTTTGAGTTAGATTAAATTTTAATAATAATCAATTTTCTTGATGTCTTTCCAAAATGCAACTTCCTTTTTATTTAAACATTGTCATTAAATCTATACCTGATTGACTTACAAATTCTCCTTTGAGAATTAATGCTCCTTTTGCTTAAAATTCAAGTTCTTTAGATATACAGAGTATATTAATATTACTTGTTACTAAATAAAATAAAAAAAATAATAAATACTATCTTCTAATCTTCGATTGATATAAGACTGTGGTTTACATTAGTCAAGGATATCTCTGTAAATTTTCCACTTAGGTTTAATATCTTGAGCTGTCTTAACATCCAAAAAAATTATAGATGTACCCACACTCTTATAGACTAATGTAGTGTTATCAGGGGAAAAGCCTAATAATTTATTACAATTTTTATGATTAACAAATTTTGCTGTTTATTATCCTGTTTTCACATCCCATAAACGGATAGAGTTATCTAAACTACCAGATGCTAATATAGTACCATCGGGAGAGAAGCATAATGAATAAACAGTATTAATATGACCAATTAATTTTGCTTTATGCTAGCCTGTGTTAACATCCCATAAATTGATGCATTTATCATCACTACCACTTGCTATTGTAGTTCCATCAAGAGAAAAACACACTGAATAAATAGTACCATAAGGATTTTTTATTATGGTTATTAGTTTTCCTGTTTCAACATCATAAATATAAATAGAGTTATCTAAATTAACTTGTGCTATTATTGCCCCATTAGAAGAGAACTAGACTGAATTGATACTATTTCTAAGACCTTATAAAGTGGCATTTTATAATATTGGCCTAACATCCCATAAACGAATGCTATTATCTACGCTACCAGATGCTAATGTATTGCCATCAGGAGAGAAGCATACAGATAAAACCTGATTAGTATGACCTTTTATTTTATATCTTTCCTTAATATCTATATTATTTCTATATAATTTTAATTCATTATTATCATCTAAGAAGTCAAATGAATCCACTGAACTCATAAGACAACTTTACTTGATTAATTATTATCCTGTCCTAATATCCCAAAATAGAATGGAGTTATCTGAGGTACCAGTTGCTAATATATTACCATCTTTAGAGAAGCATACAGATAAAAATCTAATATTATGATTTCTAATTGTTAATTTTTATTATCCTGTCCTAAAATCCTTTACTTAAATACAGCTTCCATTGTAATTAGAATACTCAATCTATGCAAGTGTATTACCATCAGGTGAAAAGCTTTATGATTTGAGGGTTTGAATTTTAAATTTAGCTTTTAGTTTTCTTGTTTTAATGTCCCAAAAATGAATAATACAATTCTTACCAATCGATGCTAAAGTACCATTAGAAAAGAAGCATACCAAAGGAACTCCTTCATGTTGACTTTTTAATTTGGCTTTTTATTGTCCTGTTTTAACATCCCATAAACAAATATAGTTGTCTTCACTACCAGATGCATATGTGGTACCATCTGGAGACAAGGTTTAAGGAGTGATTCCAGTGCTCTGACTATCAAATTTGGCTGTACGTTTTCCTGATTTAACATCCCATAAACAGATAGAATTATCAATGCTCTTTGATATTAATGTTGATCCATCAGGAAAAAAGCTAACTGACTCTACATGGCTACTATGACCAACTAATTTAGTATTTAACTCTCCTGTCTTTGCATCCCATAATTAGATAGATGTATCATCACAACCAGTTGCAATTATATAGCCATCAGGAGAGAAGCATACTTAATTGACTGCATTATTATGATTATTTAATTTGGTTTATTATTTTCCAGTCTTAACATCCCATAAATAAAACGAATTATATGCACTGCCAGCTGCTAACATAGTACCATCAGGAGAGAAGCAAACCGATAAGAACATAAAATTATGACCATCAAATTTTTTTTGTAGTTGCCTTGTCTCAAAATCCCATAAACAGATAGATTTATCTGCACTAGCAGAAGCTAGTGTAGAACCATCAGGAGAAAAGCATACTGATTAGACAAAACCTGTATGACCGTCTAATTTTGCTTTTTAATATCCTGTCATAGCATCCCACAAACGGATAGACTTATCATTACTGCCTGAAGCTATTGTATAACCATCAGGAGAATAACATACTGATTAGACATTACTAGTATGACCATCGAATTTATCTTTTTCTTATCTTCTCTTAACATCCCATAAACGGATAGATTTATCATCACTAGCAGATGCTAATGTAGAACCGTCAGGAGAGAAGCATACAGAATTGACACAATTAGTGTGTCCATCTAATTAAGCTTTTTCTTATCTTTTCATGACATCCCATAAAAGGACGGACTTATCATCACTGCATGAGGCTAATAGAGTATTATCAGGTGAGAAGCATAAAGAATTGATACTCCTTCTATGGCTATAGAATATGGCTTTTTATTATCCTGTCTTTATATTCCATAATTAGATAGAACCGCTCCCAGATGCTAATGTATTGCCATCAGAAGAGAAGCAAACAGTTCGTACAGGATGATATCCGCATAATCTATTTAACTCATGTATTTTAATGTTCTTCCATTTACAATTTAGCAAGTGAGCTCCGTTCAGGTTTATTCCATTAATATTAACATTATCAAATTAAGAACCACTCAAATTGCATCTCACCATATTAGCACCAATTAATGAAGTGTCTCTAATCCTTATATTCTCAAAGTTGTGTTCCCTAATATCTACCTTCATCTCGACTAATAAATTGAGCAAATTTGATCCACATTAGATAAATCTCTTATCAATGGCAGTTAGTTAAACTACGAATATTTAAAATTGCACTATATTCCTTTTATTTTCTATTTTTTGAATTAAATCCTCTCTGATTTTTTTATAATCTATTATGGAGTAATTCTGTATATTCAAATCATGATCCTTAATTATTTTGAGGATATTTATTATTTTCTCAACATCTTGAAAATATTTCTTGTGTAAAAGTGATAAATTTTCTACTTATAGCATGTCTTATATTAATAGCAATTAATTGTGCTCTTTTGAGAGAAATTCTAGGCAGTCTTAAACTTCCTCTCTTCTTAATATTTTAATTAGGGTTGGGAAGACTGCTTTATTCACATCTTCTGATAAAGCCAAAACTCCATACAAATCTTCTTCCAACTAATTTTTGCAATTCATTTTTTTTTAAATAACTTTGAATTTCTATTACTTTATATTGAGTGTTATTCTATTAATAAAAACAATCTTGCTAAGTATTTTAGTCAGAAAAGCAAACTTTAGATAAATTTGGAGTTGAAGTAAATTATCATAGTGAGGTTTTGCATCACCTTATTATTTATAAAGATAGAATAAAAGTAGAATAATAATTATCTACATAATTTTCATACTAATAGATGGAGGTTTGTTTTAATTGTTCTTTTTTGTTGAATATTTTGCTTTGATAGTGTATGTTAAATCCTGATACGATATTACGCAATCCTAATAAATGATGAACTTTCTTATATTTCATAAGAAAAAAAATCCAGTAATTCTTTTACATAGCGTAAAGGGGTAAATCAGGAAATTTGTAAACTTAAAATTTTGAGGAGATGTAATAAAATGTCCTTTATTTTTTATTGATCGACTCAATTTGAGTTCTACTCCTACAATTTCATATCGAAGCAGGGGAAAAATAGGGAGATCAACCATCAATGCTCCTGAAAAATATAATGATTGGCAGCACATCGTATAAAAACAAACAGAGAATAAAATAGGGATTAATATTCAGTATCTATCATTAAAAAGGAAGGAGTATTTACAATACAAATATAATTGTAATTATTTAAAAATCAATCTTAGGATTTGTAGATACCCATGAAAAATGATTAAAATATAAAGATAATTATAATTATAGAGGCTAGAGTCATGATGGAAGGGATTGAAAATCAGTCAATATTATAATCACTTCTTAATGAATTTCTAGCCTATACCATAAGATTTTTCATCAAGAGGTAGGGTTTTTGGTACTATTATTTCAACTAGTGAAGGCGATTTTCAAAGATGTATAATTTATGATTTTGGAGTAATTTTTTATAATTATCTCAAATTTTTGGTAGCTTTTAATCACGAATTTTACTCTAAAGTTAATTTACAAGTTGAATTCTCTTTATTTATAAGTGATTTTTAATTCATTGATGTCATCCTTCCACAAATGTACTAGTTCTGCTAGTAATCAGAAACTTACACTAAGTAAATAGAGTTAGCTTTTATATCATGTCAATTGGGTTGAATTTTGATTCTTTTAACAGTTGTTTCTTTTGTAGCTTCAAATAACCGTAACATTCAGAAAGAAAATGAAAAGCCAGATTACTCTACTTCGCTACTTAACTTGCATTTGAGTCTGTCCTTCATTCAAAGCTCAACTTCATATTTCAATTTTTCACCTAAATGTAAATCTTTATATCCTAGAATTCATATTAAAGCTCATTATGTCTATTAAGATGTTCTTAACTATCCACCTTCAAAAGTGAACCATCAAGAGCATAGAATTAGCTTTCTTTTTAAAATTCAAAAATAGTGTAATGTAGATAATTATCTTAACAGAACATGATATTATCATAAAAAATTTGATAATTATGAAAATTACCTACAAATAGAATTTTTTTGTAAAATCTTTTTCTATAAATTGAAAAACAGCAATGTAATGTTAATTATATTATCTAGAATCACATTAAATGACTATAATTTTTTATTTTATGGTTAATAAATACGCCTAACTTAATATATCTCTAACATTATTTAATCAATGGATCCAAATTATGATTTAATTCATCAAATATTTGTAGAATAGCTTCGTTCTATCTTGTATATCAAGCAATTTTATTCTTTATGATAGTGACAACTCTTATTGGTTGAATGATTCAAATGAAGGATTTCTAAACATAAACGCTACATTGTAAAATAATCAATATTATCTTATAAAAAAGAGAATACATTTCAATCTTTCTCCTTTAGTTGTTGTTTGTTTCAGGATTATTTTAAAAAAATACATTTTCTAATGAATTAAGATTGAAAATTTTAAATATTATACGAAGTAGTAATAATGCATCAGATCTTTAATTAGGCTATTTATAATTATCAAAGCAATTGATTTTCTTACCCGAAAATCTCATAATCAATATCTTAATAAATTTATAAATTATTTCAATTCTTATCAAAATATAATAATATCCTTTTTTCATAGTCAAATATCCTTATAAGTTTAGGTATAATTTGGTGTTTGGCAACTATTTTTGCACTAGTCATATGCCGACGTCTCTTTCTCATGATGCATACCTTTATTCATCGTTAGTAGAGGCTCCATTAATTTATTTAGCTGTTCTTCTGATAATGATCCGTCCAAAATTAATTATTAAATTATGAGAGTAGTTAGAGTATGCCCTTTATTTAGTAGACTGTTCACAAACTTGATATTCTTCAAGCGATGCACATACATTACTTTTTACCAAAATTATATTTATTAAGGGTTATCGTTATCATTCAGAAAGAAAGCAAAAATTGACTAAACATTGGCTGTTATATCATGTATTTGAGTTTATAGTGCACTTAAAGCACAAAGTGACAGGTTTGTATTGAAGGGTCTTCTTCATAATATCAGTCTACCTTTCGATTAATACTCACTGAATTATAGCTTAGAGGTTTATGTGACCTCCTAAGATTCTGTTGTCCTTCATCTTAAACTTCTTAAGCATCTTAGTCGTCTCAACTAAATGTAGTAAGTATGTGGTTTCTTTTGTCCTACACCAAATATATATGTGCTGAGTTTGCTTGCCTACTGAATCTTTATTATTTTTTAGATTTTCTTTGAATAAAATGTTGACACAAATCCTTATTCATATTATTAATTGCAAATCATCTAGGGTCTTGTCAATGTCAAACCTTTGTTCAAGTATTTTTAAGTCTTGAGTCTTATTCAGCTGCCTTTATGCATATCCTTTGCAACTTATTGTAATCCTGACCTATAACTGCAACGAAGATAATACTACTCCCCTTTCTCCATTTTAATTGAGATATGAGATTTAGCAATAAGGTAAACGCAATTCTGAAAGCAAGTTTGTTTCACCTTCTTTTATGAGTGAACCTCAAATCTTATTATAATTAGCCGCCTCAGCTCTATGCTTCATTTATGAGTATTTGGCAGCTGACATAGTTTATAGATGTTACTATAGATTGCTATGCCACATTCCAAATTCTGCTGATTGTACTTATTTGCTTCATAAGCCCCTTAATCTATTGTCAAAATTGTGTAGTGTGTAGTAAATGTGGGTTATTTCTTTCAGACCTTTCTGATTTCCTTAACAACCATTCATATACCAATAGAATGTCTCAATCCAGTAAGCCTGTCAAGTAAATTAATACATCTCATTATTCTAATCTTGTAATTTTAGAAATTGTCAATCTTGTATAGCCTCAAACTGATTATTATATCTCGAAGTTTATAGATTATGCACAAAAGATATATCTAGTGCAGAATTTGTTGATCACTGTATTGCGACCTTGAAACAATAAAGTATTATATTATGACTCCCTTTAGCAAAGGTAATACTTCTGTCAGAATAATAAAAAGCTGCAATTTAAATAGGATACTGAACTTTTGATGCAATAGTTGTATTTCACTCCTACTTAGGATAAGGGAGTTTTTAATTCTGGTTTGTTGAACAATATTATAGTTTAGCTCAATTGTGAAGCTTATGCTGTTTTTCCAATTAGTATTATTTCTTATCAAGATTTTTGATCGATTGATTCTTATCGTTATAGAAAATAAATCAATATGTGGCAGCTGAGTTATTTCCTAATTCACTTGTACTTATTAAAAAGGAAGGTGGATTGAATTAGGAACAAAATCTTGCGACTAACTTCATACTTCTTCTAAGTAGAAAACCCAATTAGAGAATATACCAATTAAAATTATTTGCTTAATAATTCCTGAGATGTTTTACTTCTAATGAATTATATATGATTACATTGCGAAAAGCCTCAAAAATAGAAATATATCACTATGAAATACTTGACTTATTTTATTTTAGCCATCCTTGATTTATCCCATTTTGAATGCAGAACTTTTGGTGATATTTGATTGGTCTTGATTAATTCCTCTTAAAGAGTAAACTGTAAATTTACAACTATCTTGATATCTAAATAATCCAAAATTCTAATCTCTTTCCTTACTTTTTCAACTCAATTAAAATACAAATGTAAGGCTTGTTTTCGATATCCCTGCCAATAAAATATTCATGAATAATATTATAAATTGGCTTTTTAGCAATCTGCCTGCCTATCGAAACAATTGAAAAGCGTAATATCATAAATATAGGGATTTGGAGCCATAAACCAGATAAAGAAAATAAAATTAATCTTGTTGGGAATTAATTTTCTAATTTCCTACATTTACAAGGAGGTTCTTAGATGGGGCTTATAAAAGTTTACAATATTAATTTCAAAAAACATAAAATATCAATATTGTAGTTTAGATATATTTGGTGATTATGAAGTCTAAAGTAAATTCATTCAAAAGGTTTCTAATATTCATATGAGAAACTATTTTCTGACTACAATGCAATTATAATTTAGATTAAATCATTACTTTTGAAAGGTACAATTTTGATTTTTATTTAAGATTGGTCATTAATATAGAAATAAAGAACTTGTTAAAATTCGCTTTCTTGAAAAGGGAAATATTTTAGAAATTGAATTGCCAAATTTAAACCCTAAATAGTGGGATAAACTCAGAATATTAAAAGTTAACAAATTTTTTAAATGAAAACAACATTTAATCATTCCAATGGGTTTGGGTTTGGGTTTGGGTTTGGGTTTGGGTTTGGGTTTGGGTTT